CATGTTAAAAAATAAAAAGGACATCTTAAAAATTAAAAATGATTTTTTTAAAGTTTATCCTAAGAATCATAGTTCAATTTTCAGCATTTTATCTCATTGTTTCTCCGTTAAAAAAAATAAACAAGGAAAATCTTTAATTCAACTTTCAGTAACTCTATTTTTGCAGACATAAAAATTAAACTTCAGAATGAAAATAAGTATTTGAGCATTTTTTTTTCATTATTTTTTTGGAACTATTTTTTTATGGCTATTATAGAATTACAATTTTGTAGTTGATTTTTAATTACAGAACACGTGTTTTCTAAGTCATTTTCTGAAGATTCTTTGACATAATATATTTTTTTACTTAAATTCAATAATGGAACAATCCAATTGATGTTTGCTGACTGGTAAAATTAGTTCAAAATAAATTTACTAGCTCTTAGACTGAAACTATGAAAATTAATGTAGAAAATAGAAACTTCTAAAAAAACTATTTTGATTAGCTTCTTGCAATTGTGAAATACGAGACTTTCTTCAAAAATTTTTGTAGTGTTGGTTGTCATCTAAAGAAATGAAAAAGGACACTTCAAAAATAAAAATTAAATTTTTGAAAGTTTCTCCTAAGAATTATAGTTATTTTACCAAAAATAATCACTTTTTTAGTCAGAAATTTTTTATAACAAAGTCTGGCACATTTGTAGAAAACAAAGAATTTTGTTTTTCTAAGAGTAATTAATGTTTCTATTGAGAAATAAAAATTTAATCACTGATATAAGAAAACAAAATTGCCACGCGTTAATTACTTTTTATCGCTCTTCTTCTCCAGCGTGGGTTTTCTATTTTGCTCCATTTCGACAATCCTCACAACCATCTGCTTCGGCAATTCCACTCTTTTGAAATCGGCGAAGATATTTTTCCTCTCTAACAACTGTTTATTGAACTGCAAATTTTCCGGTATTTCTTCAGGTTTCACCGGACCCGATTTACATTTATACGGAGAAAACCGTACTGATGGAGATTCCTCTCCAACGAAATTTTTCTTCGGCAAAGACATGAATCTTCTATAAAAAGGATGAAGCTTCCGTTCTGTTAAATCAATCATCCTTTGTTCCACACTTTTAAACGGTGGCATTGGGTCACAAATGCTATCTTTATTGCTTAAATCGGCTTCTATCTTCATCAAAACTTTGTCTTCTTCATTGTGATCAGCATCACAGGGTGGAATAACGTCCTTTTGGACGACGTAAGCTTTTCCACAGGTTCGGTAGGGTTGGCCACCGAATTCGCTCAAGTCGGGGTCTTCACGACGAACTGGAAGGGGGAATTGGGAATTTTTTAGATTAATTTTTGACCAGTGTAAGCGTGACCAGCGGCGAATGTGAGCTAATTAGTGAGAGTGCAGTGCAAAATTTCAAAATTCAAAAACTGATTAATTTTGAAAAAATTATTCTTGAATTGATTTTTGATTTTTATGGTGTAGAAGACGAGAAAAAATCACTGAAATTTTCCTCAATGTGCTAGATGTGTTTAGTGGACGGAAGTCTTCTCGTGACATCCTTTGCTTCTGCAGTGATGCTATTGGTAATTGAGTTGACCTTACCTTGTCTCTTTTTACACCGTTCCAAATCCGGTTTTTGATTTCCTTTTTTATTATTCTTGAAATAACTCCAAATTGAGGATGTGTCTTCTTTCTTACAATAATTTCGACTCACTACAAGACTTTGAATTTTGCGTAGATTTTTTGCCGCCATTGCGTGACAGCATTAATGTCAAGGAAAGCGAAGATAGTGTGATACTTGTTTATAAATAAATAATATCAATTCTGTTAAAACACTCTGAGGACCAATTTTACATAAATTCAAAGAAACAGAGAAAGTGAGTTAATTACGTATTTAGTTACAAGAGAGAAAAAAATTGTAACACTATTAGAAATTCAATTGGAGGAAATAAATTATTGTTGGAAGGAAAAATACAAAAAACAAACAGTTTACACACCTGAGTTTGTAATGAAGAAAACACAAACAAAAGTAAAAGTTATTTGGAAAAAAAACTTGAATGTAATGTTGAATTTTACTTATTTTGTCAGTGATTTTGCATTTAAATTGGCAACATTGTAAAACGAGATGTTGTTGCCAATTTATAGAATCACAGTTGCCAATTTGTAGAATTACAGACTACTCTGGTCGAGTCAGGTTAGATCAACTTCGAGAAATATAGAGACAGACGATATGAGATGTCCAATTTTCTATTTTTGTCTCTGTTTTATTTGGTGTTGCCAATTTATAGAATCACAAGCTATTCTGATTGGAGGTCAGGAAAAATGTGGAGACAGAATATTTGAGATGTCTAATTTTTAACTTTCTCTGTTTTATTCATTGTTGCCAATTTATAGAATCAGAGTTGCCAATTTGTAGAATCATATGCTACTTTGATTAGAGTAGGTCAGGGCAGATCCAGTAACGCAATTTGCGATCAAAGTGGCCTGTGAAAAGTGTGAGGATAGAAGATATGAGACATGTCCAATTTTATTTTCTGTCTCTGTTTTATTTCGTGTTGACAATTTATAAAATTACAAGCTACTCTGATCAAAGGTCAGGGCAAGTCAACTTTGAAAAATGTGAAGACATGACATGAGATGTTGAATTTTATATTTTCTGATTCTCTTTTGTTTATTGTTGCCAATTTATAGAATCACAGTTGCCAATTTGTAGAATTGCAGACTACTCTGATTGAGTCAGGTTAGATCAACTTCGAAAAATGTAGAGACAGACGATATGAGATGTCTAATTTTCTATTTTTTGTCTCTGTTGTGTTTTATTTGGTGTTGCCAATTTAAGAATCATAAGCTACTCTGATTGGAGGTCAGGTCAGATTCACTTCGAAAAATGTGGAAACAGAATGAGATGTCTAATTTTCAACATTCATGTGTTTTATTCATTGTTGCCAATTAGAATCAGAATTGCTAATTTGTAGAATCATAGGCTACTCTGATCAGAGTAGGTCAAGACAGATCAGAATATTTGAGATGTCTAATTTTTTACTTTCTGTCTGTGTTTTATTCATTGTTGCCAATTTATAAAATCAGAATTGCCAATTTAGAATCATAGGCTACTCTGATTAGAGTAGGTCAGGACAGATCAGAATATTTCAGATGTCTAATTTTTAACTTTCTGTGTTTTATTCATTGTTGCCAATTTATAGAATCAGAATTGCCAATTTGTAGAATCAGAGTAGGTCAGGACAGATCAGTAACGCAATTTGCGATCAAAGTTGCCTGTGTAAAGTCTGGGGATAGAAGATATGAGACATGTCCAATTTTATATTTTTTATCTCTGTTTTATTTAGTGTTGCCAATTTATAGAATCACAAGCTACTCTAATTGGAGGTCAGGTCAGATTTACTTCGAAAAATGTGGAGACAGAATATTTGAGATGTCTTATTTTTAACTTTCTGTTTGTGTTTTATTTATTGTTGCCAATTTATAGAATCAGAATTGCCAATTTGTAGAATCATAGGCTACTCTGATCAGAGTAGGTTAGGACAAATCATAATATTTGAGATGTCTAATTTTTAACTTTCTGTCTGTGTTTTATTCATTGGTGCCAATTTATAGAATCAGAATTGCCAATTTTTAGAATCAGAGTAGGTCAGAACAGTAACGCAATTGCGATCAAAGTTGCCTGTATAAAGTGTGGGCATAGAAGATATGAGACATATCGAATTTAATATTTTCTGTCTCTGTTTTATTTAGTGTTGCCAATTTATAGAATCACAAGCTACTCTGATCGGAGTTTAGATCAAGTCAACTTTGAAAAATGTGGAGACATGACATGAAATGTCGAATTTTATATTTTCTGACTCTGTTTTATTCACTGTTGGCAATTTATGGAAGCACAGTTGCCAATTTCTAGAATTACAGATCACTCTGATCGAAGTAGGTCAGGTTAGGCAGGTTAGGTCAACGTTGAAAAATGTAGAGGTAGACGATATGAGATGTTGAATTTTATATTTTATGTCTCTGTTCTATTCAGTGTTGCCAATTTATAGGTCTGAGCGGAGTAGGTCAGGTATGATTTGGAAATTAAGTTAGGAACATTGAATAATTTGGATATGAGACTTGCCAATTTCTGATTGTTTTTCAATGTTGCCAACTTAATTTCAAAGTCACAGATCACTTTAATCAGAAATTTAATTGAACGCATTGAAGAAATCTGGTAGGCTTGAAGATTATATTTGATATGGTTTTAAATCATTTACAATAAATAGTAATTAACCTCGATCAGAAGGCGGAAAAATGTAAACAGCATGAAAATAAAATAAAAACTAAATTGATTACACTAACAATATTTATTATAAAAATGAGAAATTTAATGTCAAATTAACGCTATGTCACAACATGGAAAGCGAAAGCATGACAATAAAGTAAATAACTCTCCATTATCCAATTAACACAATTTTTATGGTAAAATCTGGACCCATCGATGGGTTAAAATATGTGCAAACCTTATCAGCAAGGAGCACTTGCGATCAAAATTGAATAAAATGAGTCACATGATTGTGGGTCGCGTTTTCTTCATGTGGGTGTTGTTTTCCATTGCTAACGGTTGTCCATCACATCTTCCAAAAGGAGAACAAGTAGCACACAACCGCGTTCTGATTATTATTTCGGTAACCTTTATATGATTTTGTATACCTTGACCTTTATCATCACTGGCATTGCTCTAATTTTATCGAATTGCTATTAAAATGGTTTTTTATTCGTTTTTTCGCTTCATTCGTCCTTTTAATCTGGTCCGATTTCTTGTTATAATAATGCAATGGGAAAGTGATTTTTTGCGGTAGAATCGTTACGTTATTGCCTGGAGGATTTGATACGCTTCGAGGACTTTAACGAGGATTGCAAGTGGCGAATGTTAATGAATCATTGCGGGTTGCTACATCGATTCCTTGATGAAAAAGCAGTGGAATGTTTGAAATTGAAGTTGAACTTGATGTAATCAGAAAAGAGGCTTGAAAAACTAGGGAAATGTTCGTTTTTGAGCAAAAACAACCGTAATTTTGTAGGAGTAAAAATGTGGGTTGAGTGTCACAGATTGCGAAAAACACCACTATATTGAAAAAAATGCGAAAAGTCTACAAAAAACGATAAATCTTTTCTTAGGAAAACAAGGTGAAATGTTGAGATCGGCTAATTTTAACAACAATTAAGTTAATGATGAAGTGTTTAAAAATAGGAAATAACCTGCTAATAACCTACTAACAATGATTCAAGGAACACATAATGATCACATATAGCTTTTAAAAACGTGGGAGTGAACTGTGGGAAACACAAAAAAAATTGTCTAAAATCCACTGAAAAATCTAGTTCAAAAGAAAGGAATCACAAGGAAAAAATCTATTAATTATAATAAAGTTTCTGGAACGTGTTTTTAATTTCTTTTGTGTCAACTGGATTTAATTTATTACAGGTTTTCTTTCTTTTTTGTAAGGATAACGAATCAGGAATGGAGGCGATGAACAATAACTGTTTTAGTGTAATGAGTGGAATCAAGTGGAACGTTGTATTGCGATAGAATTACACAAATTACTAACAAAACACATAATACCGTACACTCGTGGAAAATACAATTAACTTTGCAAGATTCACTAATTTGTAATTACAACAACGAGTGGAATACCATAATCAGTAGCTTTAGAGATAGATTAAAAATAGATTGGGTTTTTTAAGCTTTGAGATCATACAAATAAATAGAAAACATGAGCTAATTCTAAAAAAATTCTATGAAACTAAGAAAAAAAGCAAAGAAAAGAGCTGGAGTATGTCATAGGTACCAAAAATGACAGACCGGATGAAGACATAAAAAGTAGTGTTATTTTAATTAGTAATCATTAATAAGAATCTTAATTGTTAATTAATTAATTAACGACAATTGTTTTAAAAGTTTCACGTTTCAATTTGAAAGTCAAGGTTGCCAAACTAAAATGTTAAATTTGATAAAATTTAATAAAAGGTAAAAATCACAATTATTTACAGTCTGTTACTTTTTCATTATCAAGAAATCTATAGCTAAGGAATGATAAAGGAGCACAACACGAAACCAGTGAAAAACTGCAATAAACAAATAATCAATAATAAAATAAATATTAATCATATTTTTGCTAGAACTTTAAAAATATTGATTTGAAAATCAAAACCTGATTCATAAGACACCGTTTTTGAAAATGGTAATAAAGTGGACCAAGAAACCATGCTGTATATAACTTTTGAGTTTATGTTATATGACGCTTCTACCAACTTAACAACACTTTTTTTTATTATTTTCCAAAGAGAAAAAGTTTTTAAATTCAATTTCCAATTAAAAATGCTAAAATTGTATTAATAATGGAATGATGATTTTTTTTAATATCATGAGTTTTCATGAACTGAATAAAATAAGAAAATTTGGTATCGATAAAAATAAAGTATCTATTAGCTAGACCAGAGCTTTCTAGGACCTAGGGATACAAATAGGTGTCAACAATTTCGAAAATATTGTTAAGATATTGTCATAATAATTGAAAACTATTAATGGTCCTCCTCACTCGCATAGTGGAGGAGAGATGACTTTTACACATCAGAAAATATTTTTTTATATACAGGGTGTCCCAACGAGTTGAAAAAGTCCATTAGTGACTTTTATATGGAAAGATTAAAAAAAAATAGACACTAATCTAGTGCATCACCTAAAATTATTTTTAACCATACAGCATGTCCCAAAAATAA